ATTCACAGGAGTTATATGGAAAGGGGACAAATTAATAGGAGGAGTGCCCGAAACACTTGACATGCTCCGGTCAAAGGTTTGTGTGCTAATGTAGGCACTAGGCTTTTACCTGCAAAGGTCAATGTGAACTATCCTTCAATTTATTATTGTTCATTTCTGGCAAAAAAGTCTGAGGTTTGTGATTAATCTCTAGGGAAAAAGATTAGTTTTTGTCACCAACAACTCAACCAAGTCTAGGAAGCAGTATGGAAAGAAGTTTGAATCCCTTGGCCTGAATGTCAGCGAGGTTAGTCCACATTTGTTGTTCCTCTCTTTGTTAGCACTGAAATTGTTTAGTGAATAATAATGAATTTGTAATCTTTAACTATTGTGTTATTTCAGGAGGAGATTTTTGCGTCATCCTTTGCTGCTGCTGCATATCTGAAGTCCATTGATTTCCCAAAAGATAAAAAGGTAAGATATAATCTTTTGGTTTGCAGTAGGACCCAAACTATTATTAAGTATTTAATCTAGGAACACTTTTAACCTCAAATGGTACCCTAAGTTAACATCAGGAGTAACTAAACGCTGGCCTCCAGGTTAACACTTACTATTATGGCATGCCTTTTGTTTGGGAGATTACACTTATTCCCCATGCTTTGTTATTTTGAAAGGACCATTTTGTAAAGGAAGGGATATGTGTGATTCATTTTTTTCATTTAACAGAAAAGGTTATCCAAGAGTAAGAGCATTCCATTAAGTAAGGAACGCTAGATTAATTTTCCCAAACACGACAAGTCTCAATACATTCCACTTAAACATAAAAGTTCACAAAATCTTACATTTAAGTTTTGATTTGTTTAATACCCCTTCGCTGAATTTATCAAGGTTATCCATTATATCCTTACGGACATGTATATTTATATGAAAGTTTCATTGATGTAGTTGACTAGTAAAGAGGCTCTTTGTTTCTGCAATGAACCTTTCTTCCCTTAAAATTCTTCCCCGTAACTTTGTTTGGCGTTTTATCTCAACATTTGTTGAAATATATTCTCTCTACCTTTATAATTATGCCAACTATTTTTATGCTGGAATCTTAACATGTTTCATTTTATCTGTGTGGTATTTTCTCCTGGCATAAAGTTTCCTATTTGTTACTTCTATTGGTTGAAAGCGAAAATACATTTAACTTGAAATCCCTTAATTCCTGAAATGCAAAGTGTCCTTTACCCGCATTCCTTTTGTAAAGCTGTATCCATTAGCAGAAGCTGCATCTATTTTTGTGTTAGCTGTCATGATGGGAGAATGAATGGCGGTGTAACAGATGATTTTCTTGTAGGTTTAAAGGGCATATGCAAACCTAAGAAAATTGCAGAAGAAACAATTAGAAAAGACCTTGCCCAATATGGCCGCAACTCAAACTTGGATTTTGATGAAACCTATTGGGCAATGTCTTTGATTACCACATGGCGTAATATGAATCATATGACATATTTTGAACCCAAAAGATTAATTGATTTTGAGGCCAAGCTAATGATAAGTGAAGTCAACGATATATATGTGGAAACTCTTGTAGTAATTGCAACGCTGAACGTAATACTACCGCGATTTTCGTGATATTAAAGTATATTTCTCAAGCAATGCTTCAGATCATTATCATTTGAATTATGTTGCACCTGAATACTATATCTTTCATAAATATTAGTTATTTCTGCAACCGGTGTATAAATCTGAAAGTTAAGGACTGATACATGAAAGTTATTTCGTGATTTAGGTTTATGTCATTGGAGAAGATGGCATCTTGAAAGAGCTTGAGCTTGCTGGATATCAGTACCTTGGTGGGCCGGTATGTACTATTGAGTTCCATATGCAACATATTTACCGTCTGTCTTTTTAATACTTATAAATCTGATCAATAGGTCACTGTGCAATATCATTTGTTTGTTTATTTGTTTCTTTTTTTCTTCCAAAATCAGGTTGATAGATAACAACACATAAATTAGATTTGAATGTTAATGAATGGGATATAATAATCTCAACTTCTAGTGTAGAAGAAGGGCGCAGAAAGTCAAATAAAACTTGTAGGTGACGTACGTGGTACTTTTATGTCTTTCTAAGGGAAAAGGAGAAGCTAATAAAAAGTGTAAAAAGTAGTTATGCATAATATTAGTATGGAATTATCCTTATGTCTGATTTCTCTATCCCACTTTTATATGCATGTTCTTCATTTAGGAAGATGGCGGGAAAAAGATAGAACTGAAGCCAGGTTTTTTGATGGAGCACGATGAAAATGTATGTGCTTCCTGCCTTTATTGAAAATTTTAAGATTTTTATTTGATATTATTTGTAGTTCGTGTAAAAAAATGTGAATATTTATTAGGTTGGAGCAGTTGTTGTTGGGTTTGATCGCTACTTCAACTACTATAAAATCCAGTAAGATTTCAAAGCTGTCACCGAAACATTAAGGACACTTTTATGCACTAGAGTTAGACAGATAGCGTGCAACGGTTCTATTTTTATTTTCCTGTTTTCTTTATAAAATGTTGCTGTCATTGAGTTCCAGGCGTAAGAGATATCTTATTCCTTCAAATCTGTACATGTTTAATGCAGAAGAAGATTTATTTTTTCTTTGGTTAGCAAAATCTGAGTTTTATGAGCCTGAAATGTTTTCTTAAAGCAGTCGATGTTGCATATATTTTTAATATGCAATAATGTTTGTCTTGCACTATTTTATGGGGTTGGGAGATGGGCTGAAGGAAGAGAGAAAAAGAATGGAAAGGAAAAAAAGGAAGAAAAGCAAATGTGATAGATTATGTGATGGAAAAGGAAATGATAGGTAGAAATAATAGAGAAAGGGGTGTGAGAAAATAATATCCTTTAGCATGAGCATGATAAAGACGGCAATCCTATTTCAAAAGTCACGCTGAGGTAGATAGAAACTCTGGATTTGTTATTATTGAATATTACTTTTTCCTTCGTGATGAAAGGTATGGAACACTCTGCGTACGTGAAAACCCTGGATGCCTTTTCATTGCTACAAATCGTGATGCTGTTACTCATCTCACAGATGCTCAAGAATGGGCCGGTTTGTCCTTCTTTCTTCTCTCCTTATTGATTTTATTTATTACTTTGTGCATAATAATCTCAGGACTCGTTTGATTTTTCTTCATTATGTCACACTTACAGAATTAGAGCAGATTACATAAGAAAACAGCAAAATAAGTGTTTCAAAACAGGGTCACAAACTAGAAACAGTTCAAAGTATCAACATGGGAAATATGATTATGCACTTGTTACTATCCCTATAGTTAGTAATTCTTGAAATGGTATTAGAATAATTTGTACTTGCATTTCAGGTGGGGGCTCAATGGTTGGCGCCATCAGTGGATCTACTCAACGTGAGCCGATAGTCGTTGGAAAACCCTCAACGTTTATGATGGATTACTTAGCAAACGAGTAAAAAGCTTTCTGTTACCATATTTTTTATTTTCAGTGCATGATAGATAAGTTATCCGTGGCATAAATAATCTGCTTGAGTGAATGGTATTGTGTTGCTTAATGTTTTTATGCGTGGTCTTCCTATATCACAAGACATTTTAAATCTTGACACAAGTCTTATCTTTTTACACATCTTTGCACCTAATCATTACTTCTTCATATTTCCCATCTGTTGCTGCAATGGATCATTTTCCCAGCCTTTAAGAGTAACGTGATCATTAAAAAGAATATACTTTTGTAATTTTGAAGAAAAAGAGAGAAAGAAGAATTAGTGGAAGCGGTCGTATAAATTTGTTGAGCTGTTGAGATATTATTGTCCAAATTTTTGCCGGGATCGCAGATTATTAAACTGTTCTATTTATTCCTCACAGATTTTTAACCATAAATGTGTTTATGTCTGATGTTTTTCAATGGGAAATGGGGAATGAGAAAGGACAGTGGGACAGTCCACTGATGCCCCCATAGGGATGAGAAAGTTTAGAGACTTCATCGCTATTTTTAGTAAACCACTATTCTCTCTAGAAAGTTTAGGGCAATGGATAGTAAACTGTAAATAACTTTTCTCTCTAGAATTTCCCTTAACTATTGTAATTTCATTGAACAGATTTGGCATTTCGAAGTCACAGATATGCATGGTTGGGGACAGATTAGACACTGATATCTTATTTGGGCAAAATGGTGGTTGCAAAACTCTTCTTGTGCTCTCCGGAGTCACCACGCTGCCCATGCTCCAGAGTCCTAACAACGCCATACAACCAGACTTTTACACCAACAAAATTTCAGATTTTCTTAGCCTTAACGCTGCAGCTGTATGACCATACAGTTTGCATTTATAATTTAATTTATAAATGTATCATCCCCCAATTGAAGGTGGGGAAGGAAAATCGTGTATTTTATTTAAGTAAATAATTAGAAAATGTTCCTTTATTTTTCCACTAAAGAGAATTGTGTACAAGATTATGAAATGGTTATCTGTCAATATAAATCTTAATTATGCAAACTGTCTCATGACGTTTAAAGTTATCATCTGGAAAACAAAAAAGGAGTCCCGGAGTGACGTTGCGATTCTTGAATTAAGCAAAAGTGAAAATAGGATTTCAATTTCTTCTACATCGATACTAAAAAGAGATCTTTTCATCTAAAATCAAGAGGTTTTTTAAACAATTTTGATCGTGCATTTTTGTTACACTGCTTCTTACAATCTTAGTATAAAAAAGAGATCAAGATCTGGGAGAAATTATCTTTTCATCTTAATGAAGAAGAATATCAACAATTTTGTTTCTTTAGCTTTGTTAATTGTGAGATCAGATTTTAATACCAACAACGAATTCTGAATGAGATTTAGATAGTATAATTCAGGTCAAATTTTAGATAAAGTCTTGAAATCCAAAGTAATCCTAAAAATAAGACTTAATCATAAAATAAGTTATTTACTAAACATTGTTCTTCAAAATTAATTAGGATGTTCAGAATTTGACATCATACAACAAAATTCAAAATATAAAAACCTCGTAGGCCAGATATAATAGGCAAAACTGATATATTGTAGTAATTGAACTTCTGATGGACAAGGAAAATAGGTAACAACAAAAAAAATGAACGGAGAGAACAACCACACTCCTAATTACATCACAGACAAACAAACGAACACACAATTATCTATATCAGGAGAAATAAGCATCCAATTCTCCAACAAATCAACGAATTTGATGACCATATATCAGTAGAGAAGCATCTTGTTGTTCTTGTTCTTGTCATTAACAAGAATCAAACTTGGAAAGGCCATGGCCAATCCTTCAAGTCCTCATCCTGCTGCACCTTCCCACTCTTCATAGGCACAATAGTACCACTACTTCCCTCAACACAAGCATAGTACTTCAAGAAAAAAGCAAGAGTCAGCACCACCCATTCCAAGCAAAAGATCAAAATGGTGAGTCCACCAGCCAATTTCAGAATGACAGCACCATCTTCCTCCCTTACATATGACTTCAACTGCCCCAAAAAGTCCCCAGTTCTAGTGAACACCAGCACGGAAACCGAACCCTGAAAAATTGCCGTTAACACAGTGGCCACCATGTGTGCAGAGTACCAGCTATTGGCCCCCACAGCAGCACAACCCGAGATAGCACCCGCGATTGTAAAGATCTGAAGAAGGATGAAGAAGAAGCCACAGAGAGAGGGGATGAGGCGCAGAGAAAGGGTGAGGAAGATGCAGCTGGAGGCTGCACCCAAGAGAATGTAGTTGCAGAAAAGGAACACCTTGTGGGTGTTGTAGTGGCGTGGCGTGATGGAAGAAGAAGAGTTCATTGTGGAGAGACCCATTTGAGTTTAGAGTGACAAGATTGAATCTTTGGAAGAGGGAAGTGAAGATGGAGTGATTGGGTTTAGGATTTGTGATGGGTGGAGTGAGAGCGGTGCTTGCTATTATAGGTGTTCTGAAGTTCCTGCTCATAACGGTCTTATTTTTTGTTCGTCATTTGTTTGGTTGGTGGAATGTGACCGTTGGGGAAAGTGGACCTAGCCAGCTGTGATGTTAACGTTGGATTCTCCAACGCCTATTTGTTCTTTTAATTCATGTCTTTTGGCATGCTATTTTTCGTTTCTTTTTTATTCCAATAATTTGGATTAGGAGCTTTGCTTTAAATGTTTTATGTCATATGATGTGATTAATAAATATATAACTTGGAAAATTCAGTTTCAAATATGTAAGCATAAAAAATATATATTGAAAAAAAGAGAGGTTAGAATGTTAAATGAATTTGAAGGATTTTAAGATTACTTTAGATTTTTTGGATGTAATTGTTTAATATTTTACTCTCTCACATTACATCAGAAATAAATTAGAGACGATAACTATCACACGAGTTATTAATAGAAATAAATAATTCGTTATATATTGTTAACGACAACTAAGCATTACAAATATAATAAATAAATAAAAATTACCTAGACCAATGAAACTTAGTTTTATTAAAACGTTTTTTTGTGTCTTTAAATATGATCACCATTTCTTCTCGTCTACCCCAGTTGATTTTGAAAAAGAAAAGGAAAGAAGTAGTTAAACTATATAAATAATAGTCAACATCATAATATGATAGAACAGTTATTGACTTGCAGATAAGGAGTTAATCTTACGGTCATTCAAAATAGCTATAAAATTTAAAATTTTATCTAGAATAGAGTATTTCAAAACTATACAAAACAACTAGAAGATACTAACTAAACTAAACAGCAACGTCATCGTCCTCCAATGCCTGCTCCAGAGGAACCTCATTCACCTCTTCTTATATCCAAATGGATGATCATTGGAAAAGGAAAACATCACACATACAACATACAAACACAAGCGTAAGGGTGAGCTAGGTAAACAAATATCATATAATTATAATAACATAAGAGATGTAGAGCTCAATCAAACACATCATACTAGATCACACATCCTAACATGTTAAATTCTAGACTTGACTCGTCCGAACTTAGAATAATTGACGAGCTATGGCGGGTTATGCAGTCATGGTGACCTCTCCTGCTTTGCAAAGTCATTGTCAAAGGGTTTCACCCTGCCACCCTCACGAGGTTAGTCTGTTCCGGGCCTTGAGGCATACTGGAAGCCCTCAAGACTAAGACCTCCTACTACTCCTCACCACATGGTTCAATCCTCTCTACTTGAGAATGAAAGACCATTGGAGTTTCAGGAAAAGCCCCAAGACTGAGCTCCCTGCAATTACTCTAAACAACCTGGAATCTCACCAAGAGATTCTATACTGATCTTACAATCATCCCCTTGAATCACATACTTTTACTTGTAATTTCAATCATAATCATACATATTTATATACTGCCATACACCTTAAATATACTTCACAAGATATATCAACATTTAATAGAATTCCATCCCATATAATAGCAAAAGAGAGAAATCTGCTTACACCATTCGCTCTGCGCACCCAATTCGCAAGGCGAGACCAGGAGTCACTCGCATAGCAATTTGTCTCGCTATGCGAATTAACTCACAGAGGTACCAGACCTCAACCTCTGGCATAGCGGACCCATATCGTTATGCGAGAACTCCAAACAGAGACCAACCTTCCCAAACCACTCGCTATGCTATCCTTTTCGCCATTCGAATAAAATTAGAATTTAACCCCAGACCACAACCAGGCGCATAGCGCCTTGATTTGCCTTGCGAATCACTAGACAGAGAGCAACCCACTCCAACCATTCGCACAACGCCCAAATTCGCTATTTGAATAAAAAAACAGAGAACAACCTCTCACGTCATTCGCACAGCGCACCAACTCGCTGTGCGAATGCCCTTGGCAGAGAGCACCTTGTCATAGCGACTCGCTATGCGAAACTACTCACACAACGAGTCTGCATAATTTGCATAACGTAATTCTGCAGATTTATGCAACTCAAACACCAAATACCTATTCTAACTATTTTCCTCAACTTTTAACACTCCTAGATTGTATTATATACCTAATTATACTTGTCTAAGTGATTCTTAACATGCCTACCACTAATCTAAAGTGATTATCACCCAATTCCCATTCTAAAACACTCGATTTCACCACTTAAAGACCCAAATCAAATTCTATCACTTTGCACATGTTTCTGACCATTTAGAAGACTCACACAAGTCACAAATGACTTACATATACTGCCTAAACAGACCAAAAGAGCCACTAACCTCTAATTCCCAATTTCACCATCTCACTTCCTCTAGAATGTCCTAAAACACTTCCAATTCCCTAACTTTCTATCCAACAGCTACTATCACAGAATATAATCTTATAATGTATCAAATTACAGATGCACAATTCATCCTAAATCAGCTCACAAACCACGTTTATCAGATTCACATTAATCATTCAAAACACACATGATTCAACTTACACAATTACCACATTTAAGCTCAAACAACAACTACATACAAAAATCAATACACACACCTATCAAACTATCAATTCAAATAGAAATCTAACTCCCCTTACCTCAGAGATTCACAACTCAATTGGTGATTAAGAACAATTCTTAGAGCTAAAATTTGATAGAGAATGGACACGAGAACACCCAAAACACATGCAATCAGTAGAGATTGCCCAGTCCAGGTTTGAAAACAGCATAAACGTCTGAGCACCTCCTGATCGTCAATCCAACAGCTCAGTGAGAAGGAAATCTAGAGAAAAGTCAGAGAAAGAGTAAAGAACGGAGGTTTTAGAGAGATGAAGTGTTTAAGATAATGAACCCACCTTTAGTAAGTTATATCTATATTATATGTTTATTTTAAAATTAAGAAGCTGTCTCATTATTTCAATTCACTTATCTACTCTATTACTCTATTTTTCAGGTTCTTACAATAACCCTTTTAAAATTACTATAGTTTTAAAAAATAAAATCCAAAATATTTTTAATTCGTTATTCCGAGTAGTTATGTACATTTCCTTTAAAAGTTATCTTCGAGTAAGCGCAAGTGTTTATTATTATTATGTGAAGACATGAAATTTGGACTGAGCAAAAAATATGTATTATCATCGACAATCTGACATTTGTTTTGAACTTACTATAAATAATTTTAATAATGTTTCACATTTGCATGTGAAAGACTTTGAACAAATTATGTAAAATCAGTAATTAATACACTTGAAAATAGACCTTTATTTCATAATGAGGACATACTGTTATACAAAATAATTAAAATTACACCAGAAAACTAAGAATGTTTATTTTTTTGCGGCCTTTACTAGGAGAGAAAAGACATTGCTAATTATAAGATGAAGGAAAATGTAATAGTTCTAAAAATAAATACAAGTCATAAAGAATCCCCTTGAAAATTACATGTATGCATTCATGATAATATTTACAACATAATAACGTACTTTTACAGCAGTGTATTATGTGCTCATTAAACTAGTTTACTCTAGTGAAAATAGTTAAATCTATAATAATTTGAAAATTATTTAACCAAAACATAATTTACCCAAAAGGGAATACTCCCACATTTATACTTTTATCTAGATTTTTAATTTTAATGAAACTCAAAATGAAGCTGTTGCAATATAAAAATCGTCAAGGGGCATGCCATTTTTAATGTAAGCATCAACAGCTTAAATTATTTTCTACAGTTCCAGCACAGGGGAAATTTCCAATAAAAGAATAATTTAAACAAGTTATCCACCCACAAATATTTAAAAAACAATTCTATTTAGTCCTTCAGAGATTGAGACCAATGGCAAACTATTTTCAAGGATAAAAACTCAAACAAATAAATAAAAGTATGTACGGCAATGATCCAATGCGAGCCATAATCTACATCTAAAAATTAACCAAACAAAACATGTACAGAAAACGATATACTCTTAAAAGGATAAATATTAAATACAGTTATTAGATACTATACAAATAAAAGTACAGAAATGATCCTTGTCCAGTGACAGTTAAATTACAAGGTGCTTTCTGTTACATAAATCTGACGCCTAATAGAAAGCAGGATATCATTCTTGGAGGGATGAGTTTAAACGGCATACAAATTAGCATCTTTAAATTACAAATTGTGACATTTTACAGAAATATATACATTCAGACCCAGAATAATCAATTGGGTGATACAAGCGCCACTTCAACCCCCCAGCCGTTGAAGAACTAAAAACTGAACAGCTAAATCCTATCTCCAAAAAATTATAAATGAAAAACCATAGCCAGAATTGGGGAGAAATGTTGAAAATATTATCCCAACCCGGCATATTCCAGCCAAACTACCGCCGAATGGATCTTTACAACTATATCTGCCACTACATGAGATTTCAGAAATCTGACCTCATAAGCTTCATTCGAGGTTTTATGCTAACATTGGCAAAGGGTTTTGGCTGTTCCACATGGACATAATCCCTTGTCTTGAGAACCTGAAATCACAGTTGAAATTGAATGTGAACCCATGCTGAGTTTCCAAGTGAGCCTTTTGAAGAGTTCAAACGAAGCATATTAAGAAACAGGTCACGGTGTGAGAGAACACGAAAAATCTAACACCAAATGAGTGATGTGTGACCCTCCAAAAGTAAGAACTGGAACTAAAGCTAAATCAATAGAACATGCTTTATTTAGACACTGTTCTCAGCCCCTTTGGAGTTCAGCTAACTTGTTTCAAGGGTGTTTGACTTCCAACTAGTAAAGAGAACGATTTAATCTTTGGCATTATTTGTTTCTCTCTTTCATTCACTTTTTCCACGCATCGATTTTGGGCACTTTTAAAACTTAAAATATACCTAATACTTTGTCCTCAGCTCATTCTTTATTCCCTCCCTCTCAAATAAGATATTTCAATTATCATAATCATACATGTCAAGATGTTAAATTACTGGAACAAGATCATTTTGCAATAGATATTGTATGTGTAAATTCAAATAATTTTCA